GCAGTCTATTAAAAATCTTTTACTGTTATTTAGTGCATTTACCTGGAGTGTTTATAGAAATTCAGTAATAAAGTGGACAGGAAATTTTAAATGAAAGAGTCATTATAAAATACAGTGCTAAAGCTAAAATATATAACATATATACCTCTGTGCCTACCTGGGCTTTTCTCTTTTATTTGTGTTTTATTTGTATTTTTTATTTAACAGTATATTAGCTATTTCTTCCATTATCATGCCATTTATACAGAAGTCTGACATATTATGTTCTGGTTTGGAGCCAGTGTGTGTGGATTATCCTCTTAGGTTTCAAAGCAACCTTAAAAAATGTCCTTTACATTATATCTGCGGTTGGGTAGGCTAATGTCTTTAATTGCAAGATTTTAGCCCTGAGAAGAAATCTAACATACAGCATTGCTGGGCTTTCTGTCTTCAACAGCTGTCTCTGTGTCCCAAGGGTCTTTATAGGAATAGGTGAATTTAAGAAAGTAAGAGGGGGTTTCTTGTTTGTTTTAATAACTAGCATATGTTTGTGTGTCCAGCAATAACATGCTACATCTATTGGCATATCTGTTTCTTGATGCCTTTTCCGTATGTACATAGATACATAATACTTGTCTAGCTCCACTTTGGGGTCTCTTACAGCTTTCCAATCTGACCCAGGACCAGATTTGAAGTTCCCATCCGAGTAATAGAAAGTAAAAATGTAAAAGTAATAGTAATAAATATAAAGTAGTAATAGATATAAAAGTAACAGTAATAAATGCAGTAGAAATCTTTCAATGAGGTTTTTATTTTGCCTGCTTTGGTGTGTCAGGGTTGGCCAAAATAAGATTTTATTTTTCCTCAGGTGAGAGACCTCTCTATTGCATACTTCCTGGTGGGATTAACATATCTGTATGTTGGAGTGATAATTTTTGCATCTTTTCCTTCTCCACCATTATCCAAAGAATGTATTGAACAGGTGAGATATTTTACTGCAGTATATATTTGTCTTTGATCCTTTAATAAATATGTATTTAAAAAAGAACTGCTACTGCTTCTTGCGTCATGACTCACACTGGCAGACACATCTGTCCTTGACTCTGCTGGTCAGTTGGCTAATGTCTCATGGGCACTACCACAAGCAGATGAGTAATGCTTGTGTTATCTCATTTATATTCATGTCTGGTTGCCAGTAGTTCTGCAAAAAACAAGCATGTAATAAATACTCTGTGAAAGTGATGAAGAAAGGACTACAGTGAACGAGGGAACAGTTGAGGCTTTAATTTCTTTAACTTCTTTAATCCTGAAAAGTTTAGGTTTGGTGGTGCGTGCAGTGACCAATCCCACTCATTGGGAATGGTTTCAGGTACTCCAGAAAAAGAAATACAATGTGAATGCAAGCAAGTTTAGATAGAAGTCCTTGGTATGGGTAGGTTTGGAGTCTAACACTACGGTGAGCCTTGCCAGCAGAGTTCTTCAGGAAACAGCACCACATGAAACAGCCTGTGAAGACTATTAAACCCTTATCTGCTTATAGGCGAGGCAGATTTCCACACCCTAAATTACATCAAAGATAGGAGTTATCAATTGGTGATCCATTTTATGCCAGGTGTTCCATGTCTCTACCATAATATTTAGCAATAAAGCAACATTTAAAGGCTTCCTCTGACTATAAGTTAATTCAAACTGGCACCACTGTTTAACCATGAAATGATTTTTTGAACCATTTGAAATAACTTCATGGAGTGAAATCCACAGTTAAATAATAAATGACAAGTGATTTTCTTCCCATTTATGTTCTGTAGTTATGCTAAGTACTTATAAAGCCATTTGTATATTTCCACGATACTTAAATCTTACACTACTTTTTCAGATGTTACCACCTGTAGTATATGATCCCTTCCTCATTTGTATATGACCCAGTTTTACTGATCAAATTTTTTTTGATATCTAGATATGATATGACATGACAAATAAAGGAGCATATGAAGCCCTCTGCCTAAAAAAACAGGTGGCCCTTCTACAGCCTTGATTATTTGAGGATGTTCAAAAGATTAGAAAATAGTTCCATCTTTAATGCTAACGTGAAAGCTGACATTAGCCCTGTAATATTAAAAAATCAGTAGTATTTGGTGGCAAGGCAATTGTAAAAGAGGAGAGGGTATTTAATGTTATGGAGTTCATTTAGCAACTTAGTCGCTTGTCTTTTTTTTCCCCTTTCTTTTTTGCACCCAATTATTAAAAATCATCAGATACATGTAATCAAGCCACCATTGATAAGTGTAACATTATTCCTATGTTTAGAATTTTCTAGATAACTTTCCCAGCGATGACATCATGTCATTTGTTGCTTTTTTTGATGACTGTATACCCACTGTTGGGCTATCTGGCACGAGTTCAGCTGTTAAAACAGTTTTTTGGAAATGCTTACCCAAGGTAAGAAGTCTGCTTCTTGACAAGAGCTTGGCGCAATTTGCTAAGCTGGCCTTCTGTTGTCAGAAATTTGGCTGAGCTTTCAGGTGTTTCCTTTGCTGCATTAGGTGCATTTCAAAAGCTATTTTGCAGTGTTTGTAGAGTCTTGGCAAAGCAGAATGGGGGTGTTCTTTTGTTTTAGCTCTTCATTTTGTCAATAAGCAGAGGAATTTCATCAACACAGTTCCTATGCATTTATATGGAGAAAGAAAGGTTGTACAGGAAAAAAATTTGTTCAGTCTAGAAACATTTCATCAAGTAGTCTTCAAGCTGTGAAGGACATACACTCTGGATATTCACATTTCAGGGTGCCATATGTGTTTTGATTGTGCGTAATTAGTAATCATCCATCTGTTTTTAAACAGAGCTAATAGCTAAACGAGTTGTTAGCTGTGTTATCTAGGCTGCTGCTATGCTTATGAAAATAACTTTTCACATGCTAATTTCAGACATGAGCCACACCCCTGCATTTGTACAGTGCCTGAACTCCAGCGAAGAGCTGATCCAGATTTCAATTTTAGTTCTGTTTTTTTAAAATAAAACCTAGGACATTTATATTTGGAGTATTGTCTGAATTTGTCACAGCTGAGAAGTTGGCGTTTGTCTCCAAGTTTCTTACTTTATATTGTGAATTACTGTTGATGTAGGAAAGGAAGAAAATAACCCAGGAAGAAATGTGTATTTCCTCTGTGGCACCAGCAGTAGCATACAGGTCTGGGAAGACTTTGTTCCAAGTTTCAGGTTTCTTCTGGGTCCTAAAATAGGTATGCGAAGGTCTAGAAATTGGATGACTAAAATTAGGCAGTGAAATAAGTGCCTGCTTTTTTTGGTGCTAAATTGTATGCAGTTCAATGTTGAGGGGATTTTTAGGAACGGCTGCAAGTAACTGTTGGAAACATGGCCATTGATTTAAGTGCTAAACATGGATTTCACAGCCACCAAGAAATAGCCATGTTCTTTATATTATGTGGATGTGCCTCTTCCTATCTCCTCCCTCCAGTTACTCCCTGACGAGAATGGTTTTCATTTTCCTCATGACCTCTCCTAGAACCTACAGCTTCATACCACTCTCTTCTCAAGTTAATTCCAGCTTGCTGTTTTAAGCCTTGATGGTATGACGAAGATGATGATGCAAATTCTTGCTTGGCTCTTGTCTCTAGGATGTCCTGTGGATAGCTTCACTCTTTTTTTTTTTTTTTTTAAGACTCCTTATAGGGAGGTATTTAAAATTTCTGAGAAGTCAAAAATGGTTTCTAGGAAGCCACTTAAATCACTCCAACATACAGTGATAAGGTAGTACGTTTTGGCTGGCTGGCTGTGTCTCCCTCTCTAGTATCTCAGGTATCTCAAATATAGCACAAAAACCACTCAACTAGGCTCCAGACTCTGGCTTCTGTGCATTTACAACCAGCAAGGTCAGCCCTTAGTTCTTCTGTGCAATGGGGACTAACTGAAGACCGGTAGCAAGCACAGGACCAGTCTCTGGGAGGATAGTAAAGATTTCCTACCTGGTTGTGAAATATGTCTTTTGATGACTAGTTGCCATCAGTAGCTAAAGCTGACAAAGGTACTTTAGTAGCACTGTGCCTATATCACCTTTCTAGGAAAAATTTCATTATTCTGAGTTTTTCCCTGAGCTGCTTTTGTCGGGAAACATTTTGCAAGTACAAAGAAGTAGCTCTTACTGACATAAACTGACGTCTCACTGGAGAGCCTCTTGATCCACTCTGAAGAACCTACCTGGAAATATTAAGTTCCATGGCTTTTGTGTAGGAAAATGAGCACTCTACTAGTAGTTGTATATACTTCTTCTATTGAAATCTTCAATGTCCAAGGCTAACGGTTCATGGGCAGTAAGAAGACTGACCTGCAGAGACTCAAGATTTAGCTCTTAGATGTATACTTAAGGCATATAATATGAAGGAGAATATTCCCAGTCACTTGACTGGAGCAAATTTTTATTTAAGTAATGAACGAAAAAGATGAAGCATGGGAAAAAAGAGCAGAATAGAAAGTGGGGTTCTCTGCTGTTCTTCTAGAAGAATAAAAAAAAAACCAAAACCAGACCAACCCCATAGTTTAAAATCTTGTATTTTTGTGACTGATTCTGTACATTTACATGATTTTTCTACCTTTTCCTGTTTTTATTTTCAGGTTGTGGAAGTGGGGTTTAGAATTGTGCACAGATGGTATATCCATCCGTCTCTTTATGCAGCACATTAGGTAGTGTGCTGAATTCATATTGATTGTGCATTTGAGGACATCTGTTGACAACCTAGCCTCATTTAACCCTGTGATTCAATGTGCTACATCACATGTATTTCCATAGGTGCATCCTTCCTATATTGTTTCTTTTGCAGCTGAGAGAATGTTATAAATTTATCTTCTGGCTATAATTGTCCAATTACTTACTTTTTTACAACCAAAAAAAACCCCAAAACCCCCTCCTTTGGTCCAAGTCCCCATTGTAAATTTCACTGTCTTCATTTTTAAGCTCTGGGTTGTTCCACATGGACGTGCTGCAGGTTTCAAATGAACTGGAAGCTCCCTGATATTAAAAGTCAGGCTTCTTCGTATGAGTGATTGTTTGCAGATGTGGATACCTGCTGCTGCTATGGATGGAGTTAATGGATAGCCATTAAGTTATTATCTGAAGCACTTGGAATTCTGGATGGATGCATCTTAAAGCTAGCTGTTGATTGAATAGCTTGATCACACACATGCTTACCACAGCTGCCAGATAATTTTTATTTCCTAGCAGTGACTATATTGCTTAGATCAGTTTGGTTCTTTGCTTTAAATCCTTTTTCTACTATTTATGTCACTGATATGACGAAGCACCAAGGTATTAGTTTGCCGTCTTGTAGTTCTTAGTCTTGACAATTGGTCTAATCCAAAACAACTTCTACCAAAAGCAGCACCCTGTTTCGTGTCCTGGCTTTTGCCGGTAGGCCATAGCTTATAACTGGATTACAATGAGGAACCATTTCCTCAACTTCAGGGGAGCTTTTCTTGGCTGAAGACTGATCCCCATGTCCTCTGTCCCAGATTCTTCAGATACTTTGCAGTGTTATTTTTCTACTAACAACGCTTTGCTTGTGCTTACCCATAGTGTATCCTACTAACCTGCAGTCTTGCATGATGAAGCAGCTCACCCTCTCCAAACTTAAAAGCTTAGGCAGACGATACATAACTTTTTTTTCTCCCAGATTTCACATCAGGGATCAGCTGAAGAGTGGCATCTTGCTTGTCTGAAACGTAGAGGAAATGAGCAGCATCCTATGTCCTCCAGCAGGGAGGAGGAGAGCAAAAGCCCCTCTGCTTCTGAGAAGGGGGATCCTCCTTCCTCTTATGTACCAGTATCCGTCACCTGTGTCTCTGCCCATCTTAAAAACAAATATATGTGTAGACATGCTGGGCACAGTAGTCTTCTGACAGGCATCATCACAAAGCGTTCAGCCTTTCTGTGATTCCTACAAAAGATTGAGAGACAAGAGAAGGCATCCTAATTCCTCCTTTCATTTTGCAAAATGTGTGCTAGTGTACAGCCTACAACATAGAAAGTGACGTACTGGGACAGAACCCAAGGAACGTGTTCATTTTCTTCTTCTCTCTCTGGAGTTGTAAAGGAAAGCCAAAGTGTCGTGCATTGGGAAATTACTTTCTTTTCTAAAGTGAGATACATTTTCAGTAGCATCGTTTAACGGGTGACATAGGGCCAGAGGCATGTGGTTTATCTGCTGTTTCTTACGTGACTCTGGATCTTCTTATATGTACAGAAAGCTAATTTTTTTGTTATTGTTATTGGCTCTTGGCTACAGTGATAATTATGTCACAGAATTCCCTTGATTAATTACATGCCACACATAAAATGCTTTGTACAGTCATCTGATTGTTTTTTAAAACTTTTTAACATCTTCCCTGTTCTGAGAGGTTAAATCAGCTGATGGACAGAAATCACTTGGCTTTCTTTAAAGATTGTCCTCCCTTTACTCCATGGAAGCCCAGCAGACCTGCCAGTTCTCCCACAGATGTGTGTTTTCTGATGCAATGAAATACATTTCTGCTGTTTGCAAGCGTGCTTAGTTATCTGCTCGTCACCTAGCTTCTGTCTTGCTTCTTAACAGCCGTGATTCATAGTCTTTTGACTGGATGTCACTTGAGTGAGAATTCCAGGAAGAAAATGCATTTTTAGATCAGCAACCTTTCAAAAATTCTTACTTAAATGATCCTGGTTTGGTTTTTTTCCTTTCTTTCCTGTTTCCCTTATTTTGTGTGTTCACCCTGGGAATCCATGCTGAGTCCAGCACTTCTAATTACCTTGCATCTGACCTGAGGTGATTTAAAGTCCATTTCTTTCTTTAAATGTCCCCTGCACTAGTGTTTGGTTTCACAGTTTTCAATACGGTTCTTACTTTGAGGATGCTAAAGTCACTTAGATGTATGTGGTCACTGTCATTCCATGGCTTAACTGTAACTACCACTTCTGCAGGAGAGAACTTGACAGAGCAAGCCCTCTAAATGATCTTCTGGCACACCAGGTTGTTTGTCAGCTCTCTCAATCTGAAAGGTTAACCTTGCAATGGGGAAAGAAAACAAGATTTAAGGGAAAGCTTGTTTTTATTTTTTTCTTTTTGTTTCCCTCCTCTCTACTATCGTTTTTATGGGATTGTGGGATATTTGCAGGTGAGCAGTGATTCCCTTTGTAGAAAACAGCTAGAGTCTTCATCTGCCCAACCAAGACTATTGAGGCTGAGGACAGAATGTAGAAGATGGAGTGCCATGCACCGCACTTGGATTGCCGTGGGTGTGCCTCCCTTGTGAATTACAGCCTCCTTCAGGCAATCCAACCTGTACCTCGGAGCAGCTGCCCCAATCAGGCTGCCCAGGAGGACAGTCTAGCCCTGGCATGGGCCACCCAGCTCTCCTGCCATTGACCATGGGGAAGGAAGTTATGCTGCTTAGAGAACAGCTCTGTGCCAGCTGGGCAGTTAGGTAAAAATGTGCCGGATCTTTTCTGATCTCTAACATCATCTAAATACTTCTCTTTCTATAGTCATAGTGAGTAGAGTTGGTATGGTTATGCCCCCCAAAAATACTGTTTTTCTGACTGCCCTTTTGCAATGCGTGGTGACCATTAATTGTACTGTAAGCCAGTGTCAGGCTAAAAATGAGCTATTTAGAACTTGTTAAAATGTTACGGGCTATGATAAATGTTTGTCCCTTCTGGAGCACTCCTGCATGAAACTTACAGTTACGAAAAATACTATCTAAAATAATACAGCTACTGGTAGCCCTAGATACCAGGTTCTTCTTATAGAAGGATAGGTTTTTTTCTAAATGGTCATGCCTTTCTCTCCATTAAGAATGAGGCTTTTTCCTGGCTTGGAGCTGAGATGAACTATGGATATCTGCCTAGGAAAAAGAAAGTGTTTGCAGGTTAAGTACCTGTTGTCCGATAACATGGTTACAACTCAGGCTGTTTCAAAAAGGTAGAAAAAGGGGCAAGGATGTTCCCGGGGAGAAATACAGTATAACTTTTTGCCCTGAAACAGATGGATTTAAATCCTTTTCAGCCTTTTTGATTGTGGCATTGTTCTTTGAGGATCCTGCTTAATTGTAACAATTATAGCTGCAAAGCACTACTCTGCAATTACGGAATTGTTTTGGAGGCTCCAACATTTTCAGACCATTGTTTTCAATTGAGCCAAAACGCATTCTCCCCTCCTCCACCAACCCAGTTATTTTTTTCCCCAGATCAAGAAGTTGAAAAATCTTTCATTTCACACCAAACACACACACCACTTTGCTTTTGAAGTTTTAAGAAACTAGAATTAATTTTTTTAAAAAGCAACAACTTTGAACTACTAAATCACTTCTGTTCTAAAGCATGCCAGAATGAAATACGTCACATATTTTTTCAGGTTTTCTGCTCAAATATTCTGAACTGACAGAAATTTGCAAAATATTTTTTTAATTACTAAGCCTACACTCTTTTTAATCCCACTTGCTAAAAAATTAATCTCAGCAAAAAAAAGAATGGAAGAAGTACCATCATTTTCTGTGTTCATAAACTTTTGGCTTCAATTGTGTTGTCTGACAGTAAGATTTGTAATCTGCTGTGTATTTTGGGAGAGAGGAAGTAATTTTCAATGGCAAACACTTTTTTGTGAACAGTTTAGTTAATTGGCTTTCCGTAGCAATATTAGAGAAGCAGTAAACGTTTGGTCCTTCTTTCCGTAATAAGTCTGATTCTTGGGATTATCTTGTATCCAATTATGTTTTTGTTTCAACTGCTGTATTCCCACTGCTATCTTCAGTCTCTGAGGTACACCTCTTGTACCACTGTTAAAAAGATATAATTTCTGTCTTTTTGAAATCAATTTTAAAGAGTAAATGTTAGAAATAGTCCATATCTTAAATTATTCCTTTGTGTTTAAATTATTTCTATCCCCCTAAACTTTAGTGAGGCTACTCTATATCTCTAATCTTTATTCCTAACTTGGAAACTGGCAGCCAGCCTTTCAGCCGTGGAAGTGGTCACTTTTTAAAAGCCTGTTAGTTAGTGACATCCTCCATAATACAGATACTTTCTACAGTTAAGGAAAAATTAGCATTGGCTTACAGATTTTGTTTATTTTAAGAAGTCAAATCCTCCATAAGAATAAACAAAACCTGTAAGAGTATGTAGGTTTCCTCTGTGTGAATTCTTTTTTCCCTTCATAGAAACAGCTGTGTGACCAAAATATCACAGTTTTTAATTATATTTCCTGACTTTACCTTAGGTTAAAATATGTCAACATTTCATATTCTCTAAAGAAAAATTATACTCTTGTCAGTCTCAGCTCTGTGCATAACTACACTGAGTTTGTCTGATGCATTAAAAGCTTCTTTTGCAGAACAGAAAATCTCTGGTTTTTTCATCCTTAATGCAAAAAGGAAAGCAACAGGAAATTACTTGTAAAAACAAATTCAACAAAAAATTCCAACATAAATAGTACAGAGTTCATGTATAAAATTATGTCCAACATGCTAGATGTTTGTCCTCTATCAAAATGCATTAGAGTTCAAGTTTTGAGGTGTTATTTCCCTCCTAGTATTCCATGTAATGTTTTCCACTCGATGCATCTTTTCCTTTCTTCTGGTTTCCATTAGTTCGCTTTGAGCAATTCAGATCATTCTCTGAATAAGCTAATTCTTTCTTGTGGGAATTAAGTTATACAGTATTGTTTCTTTGGTATTTGAATATCCATCTGAAATATTTGAGTGCTGAGTACCATGCATGGTGTTTTTCAGAAGAACTGCCAAATTAGACATACTTACTCCTCAAGAATATTTTGAGTCAAAACACTAGATATTTAGAATTTGGCACTCTGAATATTCAGTAGACCTTATGTTTGCTGTGAAATTAATTAGTGTTAATAGACTGAGTTGTGCAAATGGAAACACCATCCATGTACCAGTTAAATGTTAGTGAAAATGAAGGATAATGGTGGTATTTTGTAATAAATACAGCACAGATTTTAACA